AGATGTGTAAATAAAGAAATAATCCTGCACTCTGTCACCGAAGTTGCACCTTGAATAATCCTCTTTTTTTTTTTCTTCTCTGGTGCCTCACTTTCCTCACCTATAAAAATGAAAACAAATGTTGTTGGTTTTCATATTAGACTTCAAAACTAGAAAATAATTAGGTAAAACAGCAGAATATTTTTCTAGTTACCTCGTGGATTTGGGGTTTTTTTCTGCTGTTATTACTTTTGTTCAAATCTGGTATTTGTGCTCTCTGCTGTCCTGCAGTCCACTTGAGCATCCTTAAGTTGATAAAACTCTACTAAGGAGAAAAACTGAGGATCCAGGATCGGGATATACATTTTATCAATTCCACTGAATCCATGCAGTTATCCATGGATTAGACAGGCAGTTCCACTTCTGAGGGGCTCTCCCAGCTCCTTCCTTGCTGTGACCATCTCCAGGGCCTGATCCCGGTGACACTCAGGTCCAAGGGGGACTTGCTGCTGACTTTAATTTGAATTTAGCTGGACCACACAGCCCTGACTCAGCATGCTCCAGCCTCAGTGACTGTTGGAAGGATTGGCTCTTAATTTCCTTTTTTTAAATATGTATATATAAACTTGCTTTTATGGACAGCCTGTGTACATGATGAAAAGATAAACTTCACAAAGAGGAAATGACAGAAAAGACACCCAATGTACATTAAAATGTACGTTAAGACCTCAGTGACTCCACCCAGATTATCTTTTATTTGTTTTGTGGGCAAACAGCAAGATTTTAAGGATTTTAATCCACAGAATTACTACCCACCAAACAAAAACAAGGAAGGGGTTTCTCCTGGCACATCAAGTTAGGATTAAATCCTCCCGTTCCAAAAGGGACTAAATAAATATTTCCCTCTGGGAGTTGACACCGCATGCTAAGGAGGTGAGTGTGGGTTTAATGGCCGTGTAGATAAGCCTTTATCTAAAGGATACAACTTCACTTTACAGCCTGCACACTTATTTACCAACTGCTAATGCCACCGCCTCGGTGCCACTCGTGCCTCGGTGACAACAGCCCCGCTTATCTGGGCCAGGTAGCGCGATTTTACAGCCATGCCCCAAACGGCCCCCAACAGGAGTTTTTGGCTTTAAAAAAAGCGATTTACGGGGACCTGCTAGGGAAAAAAAAAAAAAAAGAAAAAAAAAAAAAAGGTGTTTTGCTCACGCCAGACTCTGCTCTAAGCGAGCAAAGTTTGCCCCAGGCATTAAAAGCACCCTCGGCTTCAGCTGAATTTCAGCCGCGTTTGGGAGTTTGTTTGAATTGCTGGGTCAAAGCGATCGCCAAGGTGATTTTTATTATTATGTTCTTTGCTCTTTCTGTCCTTTTACAGAGAAGAAAAGGAGGGGAAAAGCCTCTGCGCCGTGTCCGCTGCAGGAGGAGGGATGCTGCCCGCCCAGGGTGGGCAGCGGCGCCGGGACCTCCTCCCAGGTGATGTTTAAGGCACAGAAAAACCTCCTCATGCCGCCGCACAATGGCCACATTGTAAACGCGTCCCTTCCCATCATGTAGGACGTTGGGATCGTTAGTTTTGGCTGGAAATAAAATATATATTACACGCAAAGGGCTCTGCTAGCGGGCAGCAAACGCGCGCTGCCGCTGTAATGTTTCTCATTATATTTCCCCTTTGTTCCTAAAAAATGACTGAGTTATTGCATAATGCGGGGATCAAAGAAGAGGGAAAATACAGCATGAGGATGGAAACGAAGGCAGCCTGTCAGTTTTAAGAGCAAATGAATGCTCGGTTTCTTTTATAAAGAAATCCCGCTACAGAAATAATCGCCTGAAAAAAAAATACAATTTTGACAAGTAAATAGTTTGTTTCCTCCTCATTTCAAACAGCCTTGAGAAATCTCCAGCACCTAGTCAGAGGATTTATTTAGGATTTCTCGATTCTTGAGTTTTCCCCCGAATTTTGCGTGCGTGCGTTTTATTAGGTTAATAAAACTCGATTTCCAAGCTTTTGGACGCCTCGGGGGTACAATGAGCTCGGATGTCAAATGCATCAAGCAGCTAATGAAGGGATTTCAGAGGTCTCCAAAGTGTCCATAGCAGCAATTTGTAGCATCTCATAAAGGTGAAGCCCATTCTGGCTCCAGCGTGTTTTGTCTGACACTTTTCCGGGCGCTCTAACTCCGATTTGCTGATTTATTCCGATTTTATGGCTTTTTCAAACGCCCCGGTGCCGCTGTCACAGGGATTGTGGGCAAAGCGAGTCAAACCAGCATCCCCAGGCGAGCTCATGCCAGTGGTGCTGGGCAAGGGCAAACGGGGGGAAAATCCCAAACCTGCCGTGCTTTACAGTGGTTTACCAAAAGGGATCCAGAGGCGAAAACTATACAGGGGAAAATCCTTATCCAAGGAAATATTTTACTGTGTAAAGGTCTTGTTGGGAGTGGGGCGGGGGAAGCTGAGCCGTTTTTTCTTCTTTTTTTCTTTACTTTGTCTTATTTTATTTTCCTTTTTTATGGTCTCTTCTCTTCTCTTCTCTTCTCTTCTCTTCTCTTCTCTTCTCTTCTCTTCTCTTCTCTCCTCTCCTCTCCTCTCCTCTCCTCTCCTCGTTTTCCTTCTATTATCTTTTCAAAATATATTTCCTTTCCCTTTTTTTTGTTTTTATTTTCCCTAATTTCCCTTTTCTTTCCCTCCACCCCTTTTTAATTTTTTAAAAATTTTTAAAAAATTTTTTAAATTTTTTTTTTTATTATTATTGGTTGCTCTTGGGGCTTTTTTTCTACGACTGTTGGTATTTCATCTCCTCCTCTCCAGCTCCATGCCCTCTCTGGGCTGAGCTGGGGGCGCGGGCGGGCGGCAGTGAGGGATGGAGGGATGGAGGGATGGAGGGCGGAGCGGGATCCTCTGGGCTCTCCCCGGGCCGGAACACTCAGCTCTGCCTCCACTCTTTTATCCCTGATTTGCTCCTCATTCCCCCTCCCCAGCCTGGTGCTATTTTGGCAAAAGAACAAAACCAAGCATCTCCCTCTCCCAATCCCAATCCCGGCCCGGCCCGGGGCTCCTTTTCCCTCGGGATTGGTGCGTTTATGGAATTCCTGGGCAAATGACCTTGCCGTTGCCAGTTTTTCTCCTTCTTTTCGATTTCCAGAGTTTCTCTAAAAGCCGACCAGCGCTCCCGCTCGCAGCCGGCGCAGGTTGTCCCGGGATGCGGGAGGTGGGAAAGGCTCTGGAAAACCACGGGCTGCTGGAAAACCACGCTGGCAGCTCGCTCTGACATTGGTTCCCAGCTCTTCTCGGCCGCCAAATTAAAGCTATCATCATGATAGTAATAATAAAAAAATATAATTTAAAAGTAGGGGGATTTTTGAAGCCACTGCGAGGACACCCAGAGTCTGTGTAACACCCAGGCATGGGAGAGATGGAGATGGAGAGGGACTGGGGGGGACCAGAACCCTGGAAAGGGAGAGATGGGGGTGGAGGGGGACTGGGGGGACACCCAGAGCCCCAAAAGGAAGATGGGGAGGGAGGGGGACTGGGGGGACACCAGAACCCCGGGAAGGGAGAGATGGGGATGGAGAGGGACTGGGGAGACACCCAGAGCCCCAAAAGGAGAGAGATGGGGAGGGAGAGGGACTGGGGGGACACTAGAACCCTGGAAAGGGAGAGATGGGGGTGGAGGGGGACTGGGGGGACACCCAGAGCCCCAAAAGGGGAGAGATGGGGAGGGAGAGGGACTGGGGGGACACCAGAACCCCCGATAGGGGAGAGATTGTTGTGGAAGGAGAGTGAAGGAACACCCAAAGCATCGGTGACTCGCAGGGAGGGGAGAGATGATGATGGAGAGGAACTGGGGGGAGACTCAGAGCGCCGGGCTGGTGATGGGGAGGGGCCGCGCTGGGGGCTGTTGTCACCCCTAAAACCGAAGGGCTCTTGGGGAGCGCCCAGATCAGCAGCGGCGAGAGCTCTCGCTGTGAGCTTAGAACAGCAGCCTTAATCTTCTCTGCAGTGTTTACAGAGCCAGCTCATCCGTGGGGCGGGTGGAAGGCGGCCAGATCGCCCGATAATGCTCTTTATTAAAAAATACGGACTTGTGTTGCTTTTAGCGGTGACCCCGGAGCGCGTCCCGCATTTTTGGGGGAGGGCGGCTCCCCTCGCCCGCGGCTCCCCCGCTCCCAGCCCCGCACCCGCGGACAGGGGAGGTCCCCGGCCGCCTTCAGCAGCACCTAGGGGAGCCCCCGCCTGGGAGAAAACCCCTTGAGTGGGTTTAGGGGGTGATTTTCACCCGAACGGGAGCCTAAAGGAGCCACTCAGCTCTCCGCGGGGCAGGACAGGGCAGCCCCGCTCCGCGCGGCTCCGCGGAACTTCCAAGGATCCATCTATTTGTTTGTTTTACCTAAGGAAAACACGGAGGGGGATGTGAGGGGCTCGCTCCGTACCGGCAGGCAGAGACCGAAATTCCGGGATGAGGGAGGAACGGGTGAATGGTAGAAAAATTAAGAAAAAAAATATATATAAAAAGAACAAACTCTTCTCAAACCTCTCCCTGCTACCTTCCTTGAACAAGCTGCACTTGTAGCAGAAACACCAACACGGAACTGGCTCATTTCTCCATCCTGCTTACCCTAGCCCGTGGGAAGGGAGGATAATTCCTGGGAATTCGATGTGAGCACCCCGCACAGGGAGCTCCTTTTGCGGACAGACGTGCGGATTTCTGCCGGGGATGGGGGACACAGGAGCCCGTCCCTGCCCCGCGTACCTGGCCGCAGAGAATGGGTGTCCGTGGGGTAAAAAAAATTCAGGGATGTGAGGGAATTGCTGGTGGGAGCCCCGGGAGCGGTGCGCAGCTCCCCGCGCTGCCTGCGCGCCTCCGTCCTGCGCGCCCGCCCTCGCTCCCCCGCCGCCCAAAGCGAATCTGTTGCATTTCCTCCATTGATTGTTTAGTCAGAGGTTTTGCCAACTTCCTGACGGTTCGTTTTCTGATTCTGAAAAAAAAAAAAAAAAAAAAAAAAAGAGCCGCATTTCCTTTTTGACTTAAGAGGGAGAGAGAGAGAAGCGGAGGCTGGGGGCTGGTGGACGCATCGAGCTGTATGTACTGGACTTTTTCTCTTCCCTTTCCCCGTCCCCAAACCCTCCTCCTCTTCCTCTTCCTCCCCTGCGAGCCCGAGGTTCGCAGCGTCCCCTTCCCCGCTCGCAGCTCCTCGCAGAGCTCCGCTGATCCAGGGACGGAGCCTGAGCAGGGGAAGCCGCTGCTGCTCCGAGCTCTTGGGTTTGCTTCCTTCTCCTTAAATTCCTTTTTTTTTTTTATTCTTTCTTTTTCCTGTCTTTTCTTTCCCATTCCGCACCCTATGCTTGCAGTTCTTGTGGCTACGGCAAGGGATCCAACTGCAGAAAGAAAAGTAAACACGGAAATCTGTTCCACTCGCCTTTATTTGCTTCGGGTATTCTGTTGTGGGGTTTGTCTGAACTTGGTTTACTATTATTTCAAAAAAAATTTTTTTTTGAAAGCAGCAAATATCCCTTTGCATTTTATTCCCAGCTCTACTCTCTTTAATCCCGCTGCTTAAGGTGTAAAAACTCTACAAGAACTGTGCAGTTAAAAACCTGTAAATCTTAAATCTGTGTCTTTCTCATAGTTAGTTTTTACTCCTAATCTTGCCACACCAGAATATGCTTAAAATTGGTGGTGACGGGGTGCAAAGCTTGGCATAAGCAGAGCAAGATTTATGGAAAATTATTGTCTTTTGCCCCCCTCCAAGCCCCTTTTCTAAACTGTTTTTGTGTTGGCCGATATTTATCATTCAAACCAGCAGAGATCCAGCCCTGGATGCAGCAGGTCCGGAGCTGCAGAAGTGCAGGGCCTTATCCCAAACTCCCTAAATTAGCGGGGAGCTTTGGATCCAACCCTACAGAAATACACCAGAGGGAAATCCCGGGAACGGTGTAAAGAAAATACATTCGGGTCAGAGAGAATAGGGCTTTGTTCAGCTGCGAGGGGGACAGGGCACAGCGGAATCCCAGCTGCTTGCTTGATTCCAGGGGTGTTTTTCACTTGGAAAACTCCAACCACCTTCCACGGGAAATCTCAAACCCTCTTCAAATTAGGGCCTGCTTTGGGAGTCAGCCCTAAAAGCTGCTCCTAAATCGGCTGTATTTCCATGTGTGCATAGGTACCCTGCGTGTCTGCAGTGCTGCCCAGGGGGTGTGGAAGCATTCCCGGGGATGTGGAGAGGGGTTTGGATGCGCTGCAGCAATCAGACACGACACGAGGCAAGGACAGGTTTCTCCTCAGCCTGTCCCCGCTCTCGGGGTCCCCACGCGTGGGGAAGATGCTCCAGTGCCCCGGCCACGCCTCGGGGAGGGCGATTTGCGCATCCCGGGTTGTTTTCACATCCCCCTGCACCGTGGCCAGCGTTTTCCTCCTGACAGGAAAATCTCTCCGCGGAGATCGCAAAACCCCGCACAAACCCCAAACTCCAAAACTTTGGGCACCGCGAGCCGCTCCTTTGGAGCTCCCACATCCAGCGAGGCAGCCCAAACATTTGCGCATCCTTTGCGGAGGAATTTTGTTATTCCAGCATCCCAGGCGCGGCTCTGGGAGTCTCGGGGATGCTGGAAAAGCCCAGCCGGGATCGCTGCGAGGTGCGGGCTCTCCATTAGGTGGCATTGGAAGTTTGGTGCTGGGACAGGGAGAGCTGCCTCTGCCTTCTCTGGGAGCGTATTTATCTTTTCAGCACTTGTTAGATACTCGCGGCGTAATTTGCTTTATCAACAGGCGGTTTAATCGCTTTATCGGGGAAAGCGATCCTCTCCGGTCCCCTCGCGGAGCTTTGTAGTCAATTAAAGGCGTCATCAAAATAATTGGTTGTTGTACAACACTTAAAACCCATAACAATGTAATGTATATATAATATAGCATAATGTTGAGCAGATCTATATAATGTATATATAATAATGTGTAATGTAGAGCAGATTATACACAGCCCTTTCCTGTTTTCTAGAGGCTCAAGCACCTGAGAATTCAGCCGTGCCTTGCTGCTCTCATCGGCAAAGGAATTTTACACACATCTTGTGGGGTGTTGTCTGCTGAGCAAAGAAAATATTAAAATAAGGGAAAAAAAACCTTTTTAAAATGTGTATAGCACGAAGTAGTTTTGTTCTGATTGATAACTGATGCAGTTTTAAATAGTAAAAAGAATTAAAAATTCTGAAAAAATAAAAGTCAATATTAATCAAGTAATAAAAATATTTTTTCTGCCCGCAGCAACTTTGTGTGAGTTCTGCTTTTGCATCTCATTCCAGCAGTTTTTGTTTAAAAAGTAGTCCTTCAACTGCTAAGTTGTGTTTTTTTTTGTATTTTTTTTTTTTTTAATGATAGAGATCGTTTTAATGATAGGATAATGAACCTAATTCAATTTACACTGGTGAAATCTCATTAACTAAATTAGAGCCAGCCCCTTATTTACAATGAGCAGAATCAATCTCAAACTGTTTGCTATTGTTTGGTTTGTTTTGGTTTTTTTTTCCCCCCTGACTTCTTGCTGTCATTTAATTTAAAGGGCAGACTCCACATTTATCCTCATTTGGAAAAAACGTTCTAAAGAATTAAATCTGGATTTTGATTTCAAGGCACTGTGTTTGAATGGCTTAAAAAGCTCCTGATTATTTAAAACCTCCTTATTATTATAATAACAGTATTATGAGAGTATTATGAGTATAATATCAGAATTATTACTGACAAGCTGCATTAGAAATGTTACTTGAAGATCTATATATAATTAAATATGCACATGTACTAATGGCAAAATATATGTCAAAGCATTTCTTTTGTTTTATCTAGAAAAAAAAAAACTATTTTAGGCTACAAAATTTTCTCATAGTACAATTTTCGCCCATTTTTGCATTCCTTACTGTGCATTTCTTTGCCTGCATTAATTTTCAGAGCAAATGCTCAAAGCCTGATGTGTTGAATTTCTTTTAATGACCCTTCCTCCACTCCCATGGGAGAGAATATTCTGCTTATTTTGACAACTGATGTTTTCAATTTTTTTTAAATACAGTGGGTGCATAGTTTTACTTCAAAGTGTGACTCAGTGATAATTAGTAAAAATTTATCATTTTAATGGCTTAGTTTTCTAGACTCCAGCAATAAAAAAAAAAAAAAAGAATGTTCATGTCCCAGATATACGTTCAAATGTAAGTTTTAAATACTGTCCCTGTAATATCCACAAGAGCTCAAGAGGGTCAATGAATACCAACATTTTTGTTGATTTATCTGAAAAAAAAATGATTCAACTCTTGGGAGCCCATTGGGAACAACCCAATCCAGTTCTGCAGCAATTAACAACAACGATGACTAAAATTTTGGGTTTTTGAAGGTCATTTTTGTCCCTTGCAGAACTGGGACACACACACCATAAATTTCCATGGCTCATTCCATCCATTTTTGATGGAAAGTTGGAGAAATCCAAACCATTTTCCCACCCTTGCCTCCGTTTTCAGCTGAGAGCAGAGGAGCTGAGGCTGAACCCAATCCAACCCCGCCAGGGCGAGCTGGGATTCCCAAAAATCACATTTCCAATTGAACTCTGAAGAATTGAATTCTGCCACGCCGAGCTCGTTATTCCCCTCTGCTCGAAGGGGCACATTCCCATTCCCATTCCCAGCTTTCTCCCACTTTTTCTCCCGCTCTTTCTCCTTTTTCTCGGGGTGGGTTTTCCCCAGGGCTGTGTTGTTTTTTTCCTCAGGTAGCCCCTGTGATTCAGCACCAACCTCCAGCACCCCGGGATTGTTCCCTGCGCAGTAATGACGATGTCACCATGCCGAGCTGAAACAAAGCCGGGCTTTATCTGGGGGGCAGAGCAATATGATAATCAAGGGGAAATCAGAGACCAGATCTTAAACAAGGAGAAACTGCTGAATTTCCATGAAAAATCAATGAGGAGCTGGAGTTATTTTTTTTCTTTTTCTTTTTCTTTTTTTTTTTTTTTCTTTTCTTTTTTTTTTTTTTTTTTTTTTTTTTCTTTTTTTTTTTTTTTTTCCTTCCACGGTGGATCTAGAACTAGAAAAAAGTCAACAAGCTCCGAGCTTACCCCAGTGTGTGGAAATTTCGACATCCATTACCTGCTTTTGACCTTTAGCAGAAAAAGCAGCGCTCAAACACTCGCCAGTGGAGCAGCACCCGCACAGAGTTTCTCTTTCACCCACGAAAACCAGAGGGGAGAAATCCAAATTAATTTTTTTTTTCTAGAACTAGAAAAATTCTCTTAAAAACCACGTACACAAATGAGCGACGTGGTAGGAATTAAAACGTTTTCGTGGCTTTTTTTTTTTTTTTTTAAGGCCCCCGGGTTTGCTCGCGGCTGAAACTCCTGGAAAGCTCAGGAGAAAAAACAAACAAACAAACAAAAAGGGGATGTCGAAGCCCTGGGGGTCAGGTTACCCTGCTTGCCTATTCATCACCGCCTCCTCCAGGAATGTTTAACCACATTTTAGGGTCCTCGCAGGCTGCGAATTGTTTGCTTCGACTCCTCTTCGTGACGGCATCAAAAATGCGCAGCATTTTGGGGAGTAAGAGATCGTGGGATGTGGCTCGGGACATTCAAATTGTGGTCTTGGGCAGTGATGCAAGTCTAAATAAATACTGAAAAAACTGCAGGGAGAGTTCTGCACGGGCTTCTAGTTAAAGTAAAACCGTAATAATAATTCGCTGGGAAGGGCCAAACTCTGCTTTAATGATAATTACGTTGTGGTAATGAGTGTGCAGGCCAGTTTTAAATAGCATAAAGATAGTGGCTCTGTGTTTTTTACCTCAGAACGTTTCAGCAGGAATAGATTCCCTTGGATAATCCTATAGAAATTCCTAGGGCTCTGACCTGATGCTTTACTTAGGTGGCTCAGGGCTTTAGGGTGGCTCTTCCCCATCACTCCTGGCCCCTTTGAGGCATTTTCTTGCCTTATTCATGGTTTTGTTAAAAAGAGATAGAAACCACAGGCTGGCTGTGATGCCATCCCAGGCTCACATCCACCTTCCAGCCTTGGGAATGTTTCAATCCGATGCCTCCAAAGCAAAAATCCTGTCACAAGCAAATGTCTTCACACGAATATGGTGGGGGTGAAGCATTACCTGATGAATGAAAGCAAGGAAAGGATTTCTTGCCCATGATTAAAAAAAAATAAATTTGTTTTAAAAGAACACATTCCATTTATTCAGTTTTGAGTTTGGCTGAGGTTTGTTATAAAAATAGTGCCGTAATTTTTTAAGAAACATTTTCTGTTTGGATAGATTAACTGTACACGCAGGCACTTTAGCTTTTGATTCCTTTCAGTAATAGAGTAATATTCATTGCTGGCATACAAAAGTCCTCCTAATAAAAACAGTTTGGGAAATCTTCCATGCCAGACAGATAAAATCTCTTTGAAATGTTGGGGGGGGCGATGAGCAACAGTCACAAAATGGGATTTTCTTTGCCCCCAGGTTCCAGCATTGCAAAAGCATCACCATCACTGGCAGAAGTGCACCTCCTCACTGCTCTGCTGCAAATTCCTGGGTTAAAAAAAGGCATTTGGGACTGCTATTATTCCTAGCCGATTGCTATAGCCAGTGTTTTGTGTATTTGGGACAAAAATAATATGGGAGTCACATCACTGTGGGGGCCCCCCTCCCTCTCTGTACTCTATATCTGGGGCAGCATCCTGGTACCAAGCAGGATCGTGGCACATCCCTCCCAGCCCACCTTGTTCTTTGGGTTCCCTCAGGCTCTCAGAGAACTGTTTTGCTTCCCTTTAAGTGTGGGAAAAGGCTGAGCGAGGCAGCAGGAGCGGGGAGCCAGCACAAGGGATCCTCTCCCCTCTGCCTCTGCGCTCACCTTTGAAACAGCTCCTTGCGCACATTGCCTTTCATCTCTCTGTCACTGGTTTTTGCAATAATTTCTCTACTGGCCTGAGAATCTGAGAAGTTCCTTTCTGTCATTGTATGTCTGTTAAATCAGGGCAAGGTTCATCTGAGTTAAATTTTCATAGTCCTCTGAAAATCCCCACTTCCCTGAGCTGAGGCTGCAGTCCTGAACCCCCGCGCTGCTGCTGTCAACTCAACGTCAGCAGAAGCAAAAAAAAAAAATTAAAACAAGGGAGAAAAATAGCAAAAAATTGGAAGAAACAAATATTTCTCCCATTTTCTGTGTCAGTGGGTGAAGGCCAGCCTGGGATCTGGCTGGGTCCATGTCTTTGGTACCCCTCTCATCGATCCAGCCCACAGAATTCATCCCAGCCCCAGCACATTTGTACATATGGGGCTGTTACTGGTCCAGGTTTTGCTTGTATTTGTTTCTGCCTCAAAATTCTCTTTTGTAAATCCTGAAACATTTCCATGCTGTTCATTTCAGTCCTTTTCAAAGTTGCATTTGGGGTGGGGTTTTTTTTCATTTTTGGTGTTTTTACTTCAGTGCCTCCATGGATGCACTGCCAACACAACCGTGAATGCACCCAAAACTGAAGGTTCAATTTAGCAGCTCACTGCTCTTTTGACATTTTAATTTCACCTCCTTTTTTTTTTCTTTTCTTTTTTTTTTTTTTAAGAGAATTAGAGGTAACTTTATCTCTCATCAAATTCCAGGATTTTGTCTAATTCAATTATGCCTGTGGAGGCTCTTTTCTTCTTTCTTTGGCTTTACTGAAGTGACACAGATGATTGTAGAACTGTTTCTGAGAAAATCCAAATCACCCTGGAATTATCTGCGTTTTTATTTCTTTGTGTACATCTAACAATATCTCTTATAATTCTTCAAGACTAGAAAGTTCTGATCTGTATTTTTTTACGTATTATTATTAAACCACTTTCATGATCACTTGCAGAGATTGGTGATTTGTTCCCACAGCAGTAGTGATGATAATACAAAAAAATATTAGGAAGCAGCACCTCTGTGCTTTAGACTTCCTTGCCATGTTCCCTGTCAGCTTGCATCCCCTTCTCCTCATCTGTGGGATAGAAATAACCTTGGGACTGGGAGAAAAGTGTGTTTCTCATAAGAGCACAGGACAGGAAAGCCTTTTCTTTAAATCAAAAGCAGTTGGCTGCTGCAAGAGCCTGGAGGCAGAAACTCTGCTGCTGCTGCTGTTGATGTCTGTCATTCCCTCCACCTGCCCACAGGCAGAATTCTCTGGGGTTAATATCGACCCCAAAGTCCTTACTTTTAATACTGCTCTAATCTGAGACCTGCTGCAGAGCTCCGTGCTTTCCGTGTGGGAACAGCCTGCGCTTTCCTGGAGGCTGGAGAGAGCTGCCTGTGGCAGTGGAACGGGTCATGGGACATTCCCCAGCAAGCCCCTGACCTCCCGAGCTGCTGCTGCTGGGAATTTGGGCTGAGCTTTGCCCAGAGCCCCTCTCATGGAGCTACACTGGGGTTTTTAGGGGGTGTGTCCAGCCTGCTTCCACAACCATCCTCCCCTCCATCACAAGGACGGCAGTGATGCCTGGGTGCTCAGACCATTTGGCTTTTCCCTCTCGGCAGGGAATGTCACCAATTTTCCTTCTGAAATGTCCTTTCCCAGCCAACTATGGAACTGAGATTTTCTTCCCCTGCACAACTCTTTCTTTCCTGAGTAGATGGGAAGTCCGTGTGTGCCCTAAGAGAATAACAGTGATCACCCCCTCTTTGCCACCCAGTAACTCTCATGTGCTGAAATACAGAGTTTGGGTTGGGAAGGACCTTAAGGATCATTTATGTGTGTGCCCTAAGAGAATAACAGGGATCATTCCCCCTTTCTTTGTCACCCAGTAACCCTCGTGTGCTGAAATACAGAGTTTGGGTTGGGAAGGACCTTAAGGATCATTTAATTCCAGCCCCACAAGTGCTCCCACAGCATTGCTGGTGGTGCTGCACTGGAGGGTGATGCGACCCTGTGAAAACTGATGCTGTTGGTTTTACACAGCTTTGCTCCAAAGTTATCAAAGAGGAGGATGGACGTGTTGGGAACGCCGGGAATTCCGGCACTCGCGGGCCTCGTGCTCTGCAGGTGGATTGGTATGTGGAGAGGTCACACCTAACCAACTTCTTAGGCCTCTGGTGTGAAAGATAAAGCCATCTGGTCACCATTTGACAGCTGAAATTGTAATTACACCATTTGGCCTAGGAATTGCTGGCAGCCACCGTTTGAAGCTGTCCCAGATAGGGATCGAGCCATTCCACGGAAGCCGGGCCGCTGGAATTCATCTCTCCTCATCTCCCTGGCCCGCTTTTCACCTTCCCGAATTTATCTCCGCAGATCCCTCGTCCCGATTGTGAACTTGGCAGCGGCTGCTTGGCGTGAATAACCCCAGTGGCCACTAACCAGGAACACCTGCTGGCCCTGTTACCCGGAACGGGAGGAGAAGATGGGCATCTCCAGCGGAATTCCACCGCGGAATATGGAAGTGTTTAAAGGAAGACCTTCCCCGCTTAGGGTAGCAGAGATCTGAACCTTTAAATTGCAGCCATTCCCGGCCTGACGATAAGTAAATAAACAATTCACAGCTGCGAGGGCTAAACACAGAACGCATCCATCTCTCGCGGGCCTGATTGCTGAACAAGTAATTAAGTGCGAAATGTGAGCCCTCAAAGTCACCGGGAGACGATAAAGGTCTCCAGTTGTAAATTAGCTGAACTCCTCGATTTTAACCCTTCAGGAGCCCTTGGGTGGCACTGGGTGCCTCAGCGTGACTCCAGTGCAATTTGCATGCAATTATTCCTGACATTTGCCCCTGGGAATATGGAACTGTTATTTTAACAAATTAAAAAAACAAGGGAGGGAGTTGCTTTGTCTCTTCTGGCTGAGCTAACGCAGGGCACCCTCACAGCCCCAGCTCCTGGCTCTGCCACGGTGCTCGTCCATCACATTCCCGCTGTCCCTGTCCCTCCTGGAGATAGCAGAGCTGTCACAAACCCAAAATACATTAAAGCCTCTGCTCAGGCTCTGAGATAAAGGGGGCTGCTGGCTGGCATGGGCAGATATCCATCAGAGCTCCAAATTGTGTCCATTCAGGATTCACCTTGAGAATCAGGATGTAATGAATGGCCATAGATTGAAGTATCACCACTTGTTAAGTAATTCATTAAAAGGGTCGTGAAGTTTTGCCTACTTTGGTTGTGGTTGTGGTCTTGAATTTTTTTCCCTTTTATTTCTTATGAATGAAAACTTTTTTTTTTTTCAATAATTTATTTTAAGAACCCAGGTCCTGCAATTTTATGCATTTTCAGATGCATAACTAATTATTTTAGCACAGAATGAAAACTTTGTCAATGTCCAACAAGTGTCCAGTTGTCAACCCAATGGACTGCTAATTACAAGATAAATAAAAATAATTCAAAGTCGATTTTTTAAAAAATAAATAATACTTCAGCCATCCAATAGTTTTTGAGTGCTAGATACCAACTTGGCAAATTTTAGGGTTGATTTAACGTAATGGAGTTTTCTCCTTAGGTGATTCACAGGCCTAGATGAGGTGTTTGATGCTGGAGCTGGAATTGATTTGAATCCTGGACCATGATGCCATGGGGGGAGGGGTCTAGGGATCTGGATCACACTCAGATCACTCCATAGTTAATTTTTATGTGGACCAAATGAATTCTTGGGCTCTCTGGTGAAGGGAGAAAAATGGGGAGTGACTAACAGCAGGACCTCAGCTTCCTTCTCACTGAATCATGAGGTTTGTTTGGGACTGGCCTCGTTATTACGAATTTCTTCAGATTTAACTCCCAGACTTCCACTTTTCTCCTGTTCTGAAGCAGCTGCTTATATTTTACAGCTTTTCTTGAAGCCATGGCAGGAGCTGTGCTGGAAATGGTGCCGTGGGAGTCTGTATCCCAGGTCAGGAGACCAGACATCAAATCCCCGGTGCATCTTGGCAGCTGGGAACGCTCCAACAGACCAGGAATGCTCCAGCAAAGCCTGCCAAAGCAGCTGCTGGGAGCACACCACCAGCGGTGCAAATGGTAGGTGGGATCAGAGGAGAACGAGCCAGGGGTCTCCTCGTTGACCAGAAGAGCCTTGTCTTTCCCCAGTCCCAGAGAATCCATAAAAACCACTCAACTCCACACGGCTGATTTGCTCAGAGCTGAGGCCACGTGGAACACGGCTTGTCCATTTCAGATCCTTCTTCCAGTGGGAACTGGGCAGGGAGACAGCAAACTTTCAAACCCCAAGCTGTGAAGGAGCAAGAACACTCCCAAAATGTCCCTTCTAAAAGGGAGCCTCCCTTTTTGGGTTTCAAATGCTATCTTTGTTACCACCCTTGGTAACCTCGCTAGCAAAGAGCTGAATGTTATTAGAAAACAGCTGAGCATGGGTGGGAAGACAAGAAAACAAAAGGAAATGGAAGTCCTGGAAATTGATTTTCCATTTGAATCTGTTATTTTTTCTTCTAATTTTTAATAAGACATTTAATGAAGTTTATTGCACTGCTATCTATTTTCTTTTAGGGTGTGTTATCTTTTGTGACTTAGTTTAGACTAAAATAAACCTCAGTTGCTAATTAAGGATAGAAATAGAAATCCAAAGATTTGCTTCTCATCAATGCCAAGCAGTAAATCCTTTAATGCTCTGGGATTTTGCTCTATAGCTCTAAATTTCCCATTGGTATTTAGTAATCTGCTGATTGCATTTACTTTAATTCTTTGGTCTTCAGAGTGTTCATGTTGAGGCACTCACTTACAGTAGCTCTGTGTGTTAAGGGCAATGAGTTAAAAGCTGTAGAGGTTTTTTTATTAAATTCCAGCTCTGTTTTTCCTATTGAGTTCCCAACTACTGGGTTATATCACACTAATAGGAGTTGTACTCTGGCTGGACAAATGGCAGCATGTTGCAGTGTCCTGGGGGAGCCATGACATCATTTTTAATTTGCTTATCTGGACTCGGAAAAATAGGAGGGTGTTTGGTGAGAAAATGAATTTATTTTTGCTCCAGCTCACCTCTTCTTGCTGTGACGTTATGGGAACTGTGTCCCTGTGCAGGTTACACCCACTGGCTGCTCCCTGGAGGTCTCAGATGTGCCCATAACACCACCTCTGAAGGAATGGAGGGATTTAATGGCCCATAAGCCCATTTTCCCATTCCATAGGAGCTGTGGAGGAGAGGGCCACCATTTCCTTTAATGCATCCCTCAAGGTTTGAGGTTTGCAGGCTGAGAGAAGCCAAGGCAGTTTTGTGGTTGGGTTCCACAACCATCTTGACACTGGGATCAACAAGAATAGGGGTTGGGGAAATTCTTTGGAGCACCTTAGACACCTTTGGCTGTGTTTGGACTGCATTAGCTCAAACAGGATTTGATTTTTAATTTTTTTTTTTTTTTTTAATTTCCAGCTGAGACTGGAAAAGGTGTTTTATTCCCATGGGAGCTGGAAAAAATGCTTCCTAACAGAGCTCATCCAGCCTTTGAGGTTGGATGCTCATGGAATTAGGACAGGAGATAGGAATTTTAGAATAGGAGAGAGCTTTTAAGTCATATCATTCTGGGTAAATAGTTTACATAGAGATAATGTTGGATAAGTAGTTACTAAATCAGTAAATGCTTTTCTAATTTGACCCAAGTTTTGAGCATTTGCTGAAATAATGGCTGTATCTTCTCCAGAGAAATAATCTTGACATAAAGCCTTTAATAACTCTGTAGAACTCAGTCCACTGGGAAATTTTATTTTCCCTAAGTGAAGGTCTGGCTGTTCTGTTCACTTGTTTTGCAATGAGAACCTTCAAAATGGAAGCGCAACAACATATTTTATCATTTATTTACTTATTGCACTCATTCCAGAGAATCACTTGTGAACTATAACTTGCACTTGCACTTTCCCACTCCTAACACAAACACACATTTAATTAATCTCACTGATGCTCTTTTAAGCTTCATGTCTCAAAATCTGGATATTTAAATTCTCTTTATCAATTTAGATAAACTAGGTTTGAAGAAGGGAACCAAAGCCATATTTCCTGAGTGATTTGGGAAAAGAGGATCAGCCTCAGTAGCTTTCAGTCCAACCAGTGCCATAAGCTCCTGGACACCTGGAACAGCTGACTTGGCATTCCAAAGGCGAGTGAGGACCAAAGGCTCCAGCTCCCTGCAGTGGGAATGACCTCACAGCACGAGGAAGACCTGATTACATCACAGAGATAACCTGTTCCCTTAAAAATAGCAAGGTCAGGGAGGCAATAAAGCTGTCAGCATGGCAATCACAGCTTGTGTTCCACCAGCTCCCCAGGCTGGGGAGCAGCAGGGTGGGGACCTCACAGCGAGGATGGCCACGTTTGGGTAAACAAACCCATGGCAATACCCCAGCGCTATTGTCTGCTCAACAGCTCTATTTGTGCCAGTGATATTTCCAGGTTAGCTCCTCCTAGGCCCATAAAAATCTTCGTTTTATTCTTTTTGCTGTTCTATTTTTTTTTTTTTTCCCCCCTGGATGCAATGATAGATGGAGTGCCCATAAAAACCTCACGGCTCCACGGAGGACATCCCCAAGCACCAAGCCAGGTGTGGAGCAACTGGTCATGGAACAGGCTTCCACCCAGGCCTGGGCTTGGCTCGAGCCTCTTGTCCAGTCACTGGGATGCCTCACTCTTTGTTCACATCCAGCTGTGGGAATACTTCACACCAGAGGCCAGGCCAAGAGTGGAAAACCATCCAATGCCTCCAGCCAAGCAGCCTTGGGAGGTGCTCGTGGTGCAGGTGGCAGCACAGCCCAATATTTTCATTGTGCTGGGCTGAGTGGTTTTCAGCAAAGGAAGATGTTGTGAAGGGTTCACATCCTGTTGGTGCCTCAGATATGTTTCAGCTATTGCTGTTTTCCTTTGGATAACGTGTCCCTTGGCTCAGCCTCCAGTTTAGCTGGCCTTGGACAATGGGTCAGAGTGATGCAACTGATCTGGGGACTTTTGGACACAAGTGTCAAACTGTGACGTTTTGATAAAGATTGAACATGTGCAAAGCAGTGTCTAGGGATAAAACATTTCTGATTATATCCAAAATGAAGCATAAACTTGTCTCACTGATAATATATAGAAACACTTTGTCTGTAAAACACTGAGTCTTCAGCAAATTTTGGTGAAATTTTTGATTTTTAAGATACTTTTCAGCTTAAAGCCATGTCAGGGGTTGAGTTCAGAAATGAGAAAGACCAAAAGAGGCATTGCCCTCATGTGGGTGAAATCTGGTTGCAGTCAGAGCAGCTGCCACTGCCTTGTACAGCTTTTCCCTTCCTTTGGTAGTGGCTCAGCATTGCACTCAGAATGCCGCCAGGCAGTTAGAACCTGAAATTCCTGAAAATTACATCCACCTTCTCCCATCCTGTCCAAGAAATCCATTTGGAAATGGAGCTTTAAATCCAAACTTTCATTGCTGATGAAAAGAGTTAGAGATGGGATGAGATTATGAGCAGTCAGATGGGATAAAACTGGGGTTGACCAGAAAATTTAATTGCAGTTCAGGGAAAACTTTTAGGAGTTTTAAATTATATTTGCTACTTTACATAGTATTTTGTTATATTTTCACACTTAATGATTATTATAGGGCCCCAAAACCAGAAATACTGTGAGATGAGGCTGTTTCCATGGACTATTTTTGTTCTGTACTAGAGGGGAGAAAACCTGTTCTTGTAGGATTTTCATCTCAGAAAGAAATAAGAAAAAAAATAATTTTTGAGTGTTTTTCTAAATGGAATAATTAATCTGAAGCTTGCCTATCACCAAGTTCTAATTATCTGTTATGTTAATTCCATTGATTGTCCACAGGTGAGTCAGAGTTCTGAGGCAATGAAGGAATTTAATTGGAAGGATTTTTCAGTTTTTGGGTCTATTTACAGACTGTGGTATGTCCATTTGATCAAGCGCCAGAATGTGAAACTGAAACGCCAGTGTTTTCTTCTTGCTATAATTGGAATCTTTTAAGACAAGATTCCAAGGTTTGGAGGTGTTCACTGCAAGGTTTCAGTTCTTTCCCATCAAGATTTCAACGTTAATACATAAAACATTAAACCCAAAGTTGGCCACCTTCCTCTTCCGCTGAACTCAGCGGGGATTTTAATTCTTTGATTTCAATCAGGACAATGTTTAGCACTTCTGGCTGCCCAAAAGACACCGGGGTCCAACCACCTGCTCTGGACCTGCAGGCTGAGCTCCACAGGTGTTACCAACCCTTCCCAAGCCATCACTTGTCTGGAAACAGGAATTTCTCCTTTTTTCTGAACAAATTATGGTGACCTGAAACACCGCTGATACTTGGGGCTTCTTGGGAGCAACCCTGTGAGGGAGGGGGCTGAAGGATGGTAATTTTTGGGATGATAACAAAATCTTTTAATGAAAGGGAGGGGTTTGGCCTCCAAGGGCTTTGCCTCGGGGAGAGGGTGTGAAGGGGAGCAGCCCCTGAGCCCCGGGTTTGCCATGCTGGCTGGGAGGGCGTGAGAAGAATGGGCTTTGTACCTCTGCCAAGCCCTTCCCTGCTGCTCTTGGAGAAACCAAGCTGCAAAAAGATCCTTCCTGCAGAGTGTCGCAACGACTGTCTTGAATTTGGCTTCAGGAAATGGTTCAAATTTTTTTTTTTTTTTTTTTTTTTTTCCCCAATTTTAAAAAAACTTTTTTTAAAAAAAAAAAAAAAAAAAAAAAAAAAAAGGAAAGCTGTTTAGTATGTGTTTTAGAGTAACTGGTCTGTAATGTATTAAAAAATAAAGATATGATTTATATGGTTCTGTTGCATGGGGCAGGAGACCTACATCACCTACAGGGATGGTGATGGGGTGGCAATTTGTCTGTACTGGAGCAACCAGTCAGCCTTAGTTTAAATCCTTTCCTTCATCCAGTGCAACAATAATATCTTTTGGACAAGGGATTTTGGAAAAGTTGAAATGTTTGCTTTACAAAACAGACATAAGATTTCTCCTTCAAGGTGCTAAATTTGTGCTGAGCTGGTCCAAAACACGACTGCATCTGGCTGTGTCTCGTGTCTG